AATCTACATCCACACAAAAAGGGAATGACCCTATACAAGTGAGATATCGGTGTTGTGTACAATGCAGTAGGGAATAATACAAGATGTCCCAAAGTACTGCATTCAACACAGAATTGTCGTAGAAGTCGAATCAAGTTCTGTAAACAAGGGATTTTCCAAGGGAAAATCGTTGAACTTACTTTTGTGATTGAATCATCAATTCAAGCCAAATATTAATCAAATAGGAACAATTTCACTCAAAGTATGCCTAGACACAGGAGAACTATTGTTGTGAAAGTGTTGTACAGTCGATTAAGAATTTAGATTGCAGAGAGTTTGTTCTGAGCGCTAAAGGCACTCACGATAGAGCACATTTTGCTTTATTCTAACATTCAATCACAAAAGGCAACAAAACAAATTTACGTCAAGAACAGCACTGCCTATCTACAAAGGAGTGAGTGATTCGTTGACAATGGGACTTTCTTCATCCGGTGGTGAAAGAGGACGTGTGACTCCTCAGAAAGTCAAGAGCAATTTGAGTTCAACAGTTGTGAAACATCTATTTTCAACAAAAGATGAAAACAATGGAAAGGCAAGATCGTCGTACAAAGATGCCAAAGAAAGAGTGATTGATTATATCCAAGCTTCTGGAATGAAATGTTCCACATGGTGAAATCAATTTGAGATGGAAAGTCGATCAACTTCAATGCAATCGCTCCAAGATTGAACGCTCCAACCCAAACTGAAGCTGTTGCAAGAGAAACAGAGATGGCCCAAAACAAGATTCTCTATTCTGCAAAGCTCGACGAGAGCATGCGAACATCAGCCTACTTCAAGACAAACAAGAGAACCGTCAAATCAAACATCATGCTGAAGTTTGTGACAAAGGCGATGGATATCAAGCTTCGAGGTGAAGCCGATTTCACGACTACTCTTGAAGATCCGATCAAACTCTTGAAACGTATTGAACGATTCATGAAGAAGAGTGCTGATGCTGAATATGATTTCTTGGATTTCTGGGAAGCAAATCAAAAGTTCTTTGCTATGAAGCAAGGAACAACGGAAAACTTGATGCATTTCAAGGAACAATTCTTGAGACAGGCTGAAGTCCTGCAAGATCTATATGGCGTGGCCTGGTTCCGAGATTTTGCAGTCAAGACGAAAGCGTATGCTGCTATTGCTAGCACCGATACTGCTGCTCAAAACAAGTTCAAGGATGATATCTTTGAAGCCGTTCTTGCAACAGGATTTCTGTGCAACTGTGATCGAACGAGAACAGCTCCTCTGATGCTGGATCTTCAGACGAGCTATTGCAGAGAAGTGGATTATTATCCAAAGACGGTCAGCAAAGCACAAGATATGTTGAAGATTCACATGGAAGTGATAAAAAATCCGGGAGTGAATCTCTACCAAGGAAAAGACCAACCTAATAAAGGTAAAGGTAAAGGAAAAGGAAAGGGGAAACCAAAGGATGGAAAGAAGGCAGCATGTTATGTGTGTGGCAATGAAGATCATATGTCTCCAAAATGCCCAGACAGACTGCTACCAAACATCCAATGGAAGAATCAGGATCAATATGTTGACTATGGGAAGAAGCTCAATCTTAATCAGATTGGAGCAGCTGTCCCAGCTACTGTTCCAGCTATAGTTCCTGGAGCTTCAGCATTCACAAGTGGAGCATCAAGTGTTGCGGGAAGCGTTAACACACCTTTGCGACTTGCTGGTACTGCAGGTAATCAAATGATGCAAGTTCCTTCTGGCATGCAGCTCATGCAGATTCCAACTCAAGGTGGCGGCACTGTTACTGTCCCTTATTCTATGAATGCTAGCGGTGAGATTGCGTTCAGTGGAATGCAACTCAGCCGACAAGGCTTCAGTGGTGCTCAAGTGCGCCAAGGATTTGATGCAACTCAAGCTCGAACTCCGCAAGCTGTGAAAACTGGATATTTTGATACTTCAAATGTCTTTCACGATGCTATCAAGGGAAAGGATGAGAATGACAATGATGTCTATCTTATTCCATGTCCTGCTGGTACAACAAATGTCGAACTTCAAGCCGACTGGAACTATGCTAGTGAAGATGAAGATTTGCCTGATCTTACTACTGAAGCAGATCGAGGTCTGCAGTTTATTCAAAGCCGCAGAAAGGAAAGAGATCCATTTGGGTTGTACGATCATGTCATCATGGACAGTGGTTGTACAAACACCACCATTTGTAATGGTGAGCT